CAAAAGATTTTCAGAACAGTGAAACTATTCGGTGTGTACTACAATGGTGGACACATGTCGTTATACATTTTGTCCAAACTTGTAGAATGTACAACACCAAAAGTAAACACTAAGGTAAACTACAGAGTCTGAGTGATCTGATGTGCCAGCATAGGTTCACTGATTTCATCAAATGTACCACTTGGTTGGGGGATGTCGATAATGGGAAGGCTGTGTGTGTGTCTGTCTGGGCAGGAAGTTCCTGAGAACTCCCTGTACTTTGTGGTCAACTTTGCTGTGAACCTGCTGTAAAAACTAAAGCCTATTAAAAAATACAGACAACTAGATAGCATGACCTTATTTCAGCCCTGTGTGTATGGAGACCTACTGTTGGCGCAGCTTGCCTGAGTTAGGGCAGAGTGGGAAGGACTGAGAGTGTAGAGAAAGACTGAAAAGAAAAGCTTAGCAAAAACCTTGAGTGAGTTCCAGCACAAGTGAGGAGCAGAAAAGCCACAGCTGTGTCTTGTTGCTCAATGGGCCACAGAAAAGACATTGGTCTGGTTAGAAACACTTGTTAACTATAGTACCCTGGCTAGTTGCTCAAAGTGGGAAAGAAGTGAGAGATACGCCCTACGGTTGGAAGCCCTGCCCTCATTGCTAATCATTCTTTTTTTTTTTAATTTTTATTGTTTTATTATTCAGATGTGCATACGAGCTAATCATTCTTCCTAACACTCTTCATTGGATTTTCAAGCCTGTGGTCCCCAGATTAAGCTAGATGGTGGGGGGGGGCTCTCTGCATTAAAATCACCCAGAAGTGTTTTTATAACAAATTCAGATTCTCAAGCCAATCTCCCAGAAATCCAAATTCAAAAGGTCAGGGAGAGAGCCCAGCAATGTGTATTTTCAAAGAGTTCCCAGGCATTCTGAAGTGAAGTCAAGCTCACATTCCTTTTATTTTAGAGTTAATTTACTCTTATGCAACTCAATGGCATTTTAATTTTTTTTGGCAGTACTGGGGTTTGAACTTAAGGACTTGTGCTTACTAGGCAGGCAGTCTACCACTTGAGCCACTCCACCAGCCCTGAAGTCAAACTCAGAACTATCAAACCTTGTTGGCAGAAAGGGAATGGGAAGGAGAAGGAAGACAAAATGCAAGGACATTTTCTGATGTTTCTTGTTCTAAATAAAAGACATTCTTCTGGAGAGGCATTATTCATCATGGTGCTTATATGCCAAGGGACCATTAGTTTTACACTATAGGGATTTTGTGAGCATGTCTGGGAGACACCAATGAATAACTGAGTCAGCAAGAAAACTCACTCATGTTCAGAACAGTGAATTCTAAACATCTGCCTTATAAATGTGAGTGTAAGTTACCTTTGATTCTCTATTCTCAGATTTTTGACCTTTGAAATATTGAGACTTCTAGTGCAAGACAGTCTGGCCCTGACTTGTGACCAGTTCTGATCATTAGATTCCTCCCTTTTTTGAGACAAAGTTGTCATCTCCACTATTTTTCTTCCCTCCAGCTCTCTGTCCCCCTGTGGGTCCCTTCCAATTCCTTCTCACCTTTCCCCTCTTCCTTTAGACTAGGTACTTGCCTGACACTGGGTTTATTCCTTCAAATAAATGATCTTACTTATGATTTATGACTCTATAAGACTGGTGCTGTGATTACCCACAGATGAAGACATGGGGGCTCCAAAAGATCAGGTGATTTGCTTCAGGACACTTTAATAAGCGCTCTACTCTTACCTCGTTCCTTAGTCCTGACACCTAAGATCCTGTCTAGGCTTCTGGCTCAGAACACCGGCTCCTCAAGTCCTGTGGCCCTGACTTGCTTTCTGAAGTGGTCACAAAACATTTGACTCTTGCTCTTGAATACCTACCTGGAGGTTGGTGCACAGCTGAGGACAGTCAATGTCCCTGTTGCTGACTGACTCATTGCCTGTCTGAGTCTTAGAACACTGATTCCTCTTTCTCTCTCTGTGGGCTTCATCTGATGACATCAGGATCCTCACATCTCCACCCAACCTTCTGTTGCCAATGTAGGTTGCTGAGGATGTGCCAGGAAAATGCATGGTGCTTGCTACTAGAAAGAGCTTTGGAGTATGCTCTGAGCGCTTTTCCCCCAGTCTCATACTCTTCCCTAACTGGCCTTCCAAAGGTGAGGAATCATAGTAAGCCACCTTAATCCAATTATTAAGAATAGTCCCCGTAATCCTTCCCCTACCTAAAAGCTCCATCCACCACTACAGCCTACCCACTCCTTCTGTTTCCTAGATTAGAGGTGTCCTAACTGTGGCCCGTGCAACATTGGTCTATGAAACCTTCTCAAGTGGTACCTGGACAAGCATCATTTTAAGTATATCCATTTCTATCCTCAACTAAAATCAGTGTACCTGCATTTACATCAGCTATTCTCCCATTTCACATCCTTTATGCACACTAAAGTTCACTGTGATGTTTTGCCCTGGATAAGAGAAAAAAGCCTACTGGACATGGTGGTGCACACCTGTGGTCCAGGCTACTAGGCAGATGTAAGTAGAAGGATCATGGTCCAAGGTTAGTCAGACAAACGCACAATAGCCTATCTGAAAAAATAAGTAAAGTTAAAGGGCTACAGGTATGACTCCTAGGAAAGTATATGCCTAGAAAGTGGGAGGCTCTGAGTTCAAATCCCAGTATCACCCCCCACCCCCAAGTATGCAGCTCTAACATCTGGAGAAAAATATATAAGATAAAAACACTTTATTGGAAACATTATATTGATAAATTTATATTTTTTTATTCTCAAAACATTCTAAATTTTCCCATTGGTTGAGATGGGGTTTTGTGAAATTTCTACCAAGGCTAGCCTCCAATGTCAATCTTAAGTCTCTGCCTTGCAAGTAGCCAGGATTACAGGCTTGAGTTACCCCACTTGGCATTTTTAAAATAACAGATGCTAATTCACATGATACAACGTTTACCATTTAAAAAGTGTACAATCCAGGCTGGAGGTATGGCTCAAATGGTAGAATTCTTCTCCAGTAAGAGCAAGGCCCTGAGTTCATATCCAAGTACTGCCTAAATAAATAAAGTGTACAATCCAATGGCTTTAAGTATATACAGAATTGCACAACCACCACACTGACCAATTTTAGGACAAATTTATCATCCCACAAAGAAAAGAAACCACACCACTTAGCCATTGTCCTCAACCCTCCTCATTTTCTCCATTGCTGACAAATTGTTTCTGTCTCTTTAAATTTGCCTCTTCTGGATATTTCATATAAATGCTATCTTACACTATGTGCTACTTTATGACTGGTTTCCTTCACTTAGCAGTTTTTCAAGGTTCGTGTATCAATCTTACATTTCTTTTTATTGCTGAATAATATATTGCATGGATATACTACATTTTATCAATTGATGCTGTCCATTTTTTGGCTATTATGAATAATGCTGGTGTGGACATTTGTGTTCAGGTTTTTGGCATGAATCTTTTCATTTCTACCTGCAAGTAGAATTGCTGGGTCATATGGTAACACTATGTTAACTCTTTTGAAAAAATGCCAGATTGTTTTCCAAAGAGGCTGCATAGTTTTACATTCCCACCTGCAGTGTATGAAGGACTTCGAATTTCTCCACATCCTCGCCAACATTTAATGTCTTTTAAAAAAATTTCAGCCATCCTAATGCTATAGTACTACAATCACAGTAACGGTCCACTGCCTTTGGAGAAAGCTAACTTGGCCTACAGCAACCTTTGGCTAGTCATTTAACCACCTAATAGAGAGGCTGACACTACAGATGATCTCTAAGCTCCCCCAAACAGGGGTGTGTAAGATTTTCTTCTTTTCCTAACTCTGACGCCCCACTATACAGGGCAGCAGCTTGACCCAGGGAGTAGAGATAATCCTGTTCAGCAGACTTGCCCTTCAGTTCCCCGCCCTAGAGTCCAGGCCAATAACCCCAGAAGCCGCTGAGTTCCTCGGTCTGAGAGCGCAGAAAAGGGGGCGATAAATCACTCTAGGGCAAGGAAGAGGCATATCCATGAAACTACAACTCCCCGGAGCCCTTGGACGAGACCGCGCCCCACCCCGGAGTGGGGCTGGTGCATGCCGGGAGCAGAAGGCACTCTCACCACGCCTCATTGTTCAAACCACTAAGCCAGGGTAACCTTGCGCATGCCCAGTAAGGTTCCAAACAGTTCGGCTTCTTTACTTCCTGCAGGCATCTTCTCTTTCCGGTCCTGCTGGGGCGCGCCCTTTCCCCGCCCACTCTTCACCCTCTTCACGGGAAATCAGGAGGGGGCGGGGCCTCGGGAAAGCGCGTGTGTACACGCGCGTTCACAGGAGATTTAAGAGGGAGGGGACTGATCACTGGGTGTGGAAGGTTGGCTAAACCGCGGGGAACGAAAGCGCATGCGTACCCCGCGGTGCTGCAAGCGTTGCAGGGGGTGGACGGGCGGAAATGGGTTGTGGTGTTGACGCACGCGCATTGGTCGTCAGCGTCCCGCCTCCTGCCTCAGGTTTCCCCTCCTTTCACCACCCTCCCGGAAGTGGAGCCGCCCTCGCGCCCACCAGCGGCTACCTCGGCGGCAGGCCCCGCCCCCGGCCCCGCCCCCCGGCTCTCCGCCCCCTCCTCTGGTGGTGGCGCTGGGTTGCAGCTTTGGAGGTGGCGGTTTTGGTGTCCCAAGCCGGGAGCGCGGAGTCGTTCCCGGGAAAGGCGGCGAGGCTATGATCGCCGGCTCCCGTCGTTCCGCTCCGGCCAGCCAGCGTCCCTGTCTCAGCCTGTGCCCGTCCCCGAGTAGTCTCCTCAGCCCGGCCCCGCGACGCGGTTGGCGGCGTCCCCGACGCGCCCCCTCCTCCGATGGCGGCGGAGATCCAGCCCAAGCCGCTGACCCGCAAGCCGATTCTGCTGCAGCGGGTCGAGGGGTCCCAGGAGGTGGTGAATATGGCCGTGATCGTGCCCAAGGAGGAGGGCGTCATCAGCGTCTCGGAGGACAGGTACGGCCGCGAGGAAGGCAGGACTGGCCGGCGGTCCCCGAGCGTGCGTCGGGGACTGTGTCCCCATGGGCGCGAGTGTAGACGTGCTCCTCCAAGTTTTGTTGTAACGCGCATCCTGGGGTTGTCGGTGTCCAGCAGCGCGCCGCCGACTCCGGGCTCGGAGAAGAGGGCTCCCTGGGCTGCTCACCGTGCGCTTCGGCCTCGTCCGCGCCCGGGTGGCGCCCGAGGGGCCGGGGTGGCCCTCGGGCTAACGGTGCGCGGGACGCTGGACCGCGGTCCTGCCGGGGGAGGGGAGAGGGGAAGGGAAGAGCCGCCGGCGCGGGCCCTGCAGGTGTGCGCCTTGGGAGGATGCTCTCAGCCGCCTCTGCAAGGTAACTAAGGATTTTTGGGGCACAATTCTTAGGAACCATCCTGAGAAGACAAATGCCACTGCCTTCTCCAGGACATTCCCACCTAATCCATATATCCCCGGCATCTTACAGTGAATTCGGTGGATATTCCAAGTTGTGGAAAGCGTAACTTTGTGCTTCTGCGTGGTGTAGTCTCTCCTTTCTCCTTATTCCGTATCTCTTTGAAGTTCTGGGGGAAGCGCCTAGAACTTGTAAGGGAGCATTGCTGCAGATAGCTTCTTGAGTTCCTTCCCTTTGCTTGCTTCCTTTCTTTTTGCTTAATTTTACTTAATTTGCAGAAGTGGAGCCTGTTGTTTAGCCTTCAGTATTCTCCCTTGCATTTTGTTTTCTCTGGTTGACTTAATTTCCCTTTAATGTGCCGAAATAAGTCGGAGAAAGGTAATTTCCAGGAGAATGCTTCTTGAATATAGTCGTTATGGTAATGTAACTGGAATTGTTACTATGATAATACCTATAAGCATTCTAAAAAATATAACAAGGTGGTGGTGCATGACAAGAGGCTTTTACTTTAAAACAGTAGTTTGGTTTTCTTAATTTAAGTTCAAATCATGCTGAGGTAGAGAATTTTCTTTCATGATTGCTAAAAGGCAGAGGTAAAGCAGCACAAAGTGTTCACTACTCTCTTTATAATCATTTCAGCACTTTGTATATAATGTAATCTAAAACATTTGCTTGATAGAGCTTAATCTGTTCATCTTAGTTTCTTCAGTATAACTGGGATGGGCGTATTACACATTTGTATTACACATCCATGTCTCCCGTCATGCCGGATACAAATGGCGCCTGATTCATTTCCCATACAGATCCAGGGTTTTGAAAACGTTGTGATCATACACTAATGGCAAGCATCCTGCACTGAACGGAAGAAATGGAATGGCCCAAGGGCAGTATATGGATGCAGGAGCCATTTGAAATTCACAGAGATGTCCTGTGAGACTTCTTTTGCCCCTTTTCCACAGGGGCAAAATTCTATTAAAAAAGACTGCTTCTGGACCTAGAACTTCTTTCTCATAGAATTATTTTTATGGAACATGTTCCATAAAAGAAGGAATACACTGATAGATGTCACTTTCCCACTCTTACTAGAGATGAAATTGATCAGTTTCTAACTATTGTAGGAAGTTAAGTTCAAGTAAGAATCAAGTAAGAGGAGAAAGGTAGTTAAGCTTAAACTCTGTTCATACTAGTTTTGAAACTTCTAGTCCTTTTCCACTGCATTTACCTTGAAGGAAGCGACTTTAGTGGGGATATATTTCAGAGTATTTGGAGAAGCTAAAGTTGTATGTTAAACTGAAGAACAAATTTCATTTGATTATAGGACAAAAGAAACAGTGTTTAGCCTATATGTTAACTTCACTTTCCTGGTTTACAATGTAGATAGTAGAAATTATTTTACCATAGAGCTGTTGTTAAATAAATAAGGCCATACAGAAATCCAGAATTATTCTTTCTGTATATTTTATTATTATATGGATTGGCAAATCTGTGCTTCTTTGGGTCAGACATTCAAATATGAAAATAATTATAATTTGGGGCTCAGTTTCAGTTATGGTTTTCATTAAAAGAGAATATGTGTTCTTGCTTTGCACAATCCAGTGTTGCTGGGAGCATGACTTGCCTAGCACTTGGCCTAACAAGTCCAAGGCCCTGAGTTCAACCTCCAATACCACTAAAACAAAATAATAATAATAATATCTTTAAAATCCAGTGTTATATATAATGCTGAAGAGGTGAAGACAGACTTGATTTTCTTCAAAATCTAGAAAGTCATTGACATTAGCTGCTTCAGTTGGTAACTGTTAATTAGTCCTGGACTATAAGATTGAGCCACAAATAATGTCCTGTACTGTAAATTCTTATGGAATCCTAATCTCTCTTTTTGACCTCTGGCTCCTTACAGCCTTTATCTGTACATTTGAAAACACTTAACATTTCTGTTTTAAAACAGTATAGTGCATACTTCATGTGTGCATATCTTCTGTGAGCTGTTCAAAGAGTTTTCTATCTTATTCACTGCAATAGCTGATGGAGTTTCTCCATAAACATTTGTTGTATCAGTGACTGGTCTAGTTTTTTATTTTTCTACTTCTGAAAGCACAGTATCGTAACTATTGCAGACTGAGTTGATATTTGTTGAATGACTATTTTGATGACTTTTGAAAGCCTTATGCAGACAAATCACAATTGTGGGAAAAATATGGTAGGACTGAGTAGCTTTATGCACCATAAAACTGTGAAACTGTGAAACTGTATGCATTGCTTTACTTATTCCCTCAACAAACATTTGGGTTCTTATTGTGTTCCAGTCACATGTGTATATGACAATGATGAAAATGACAAAGTCCTTTCAAGATGCTCACAATTTAGTGGGAGAAATTTTAGAAGATTTTTTTTTTCAGTGCTAGGGATTGAATCCAGGGCCTCGTACATGCTAGGCAAGTGCTCTTCTACTGAGCTACACTCCCAGCCCAAGAATATTGTTTCATAGTGCAAAACCACATGTTTAAGATGTGGTATTGAGAGAAGTTTCAGATGGAGAAGAATGACTGCATTGCACAGTCCTATTATCTCTGTATCTTACCTTTCCTAGAGGATTATTTCAGTTGGATTACCATTTGCACCCTCAGTCTGTCCTCAGTAATGGGCTGATGATCCTTAAACCTTGACATCCAACAGTGGATTTACACCCTTCACCTCCAACTTCACCTTAGTGCAGTTTGGACAACCTGAACATCAAAGGAGGAAATGTAAGGGAATATGACTAGAAAAACAGACTGCAAGATTTTTGGTTGTACCATCACGCAGAGCCTGTTCCCAGAACTCACATGCCTTGCCCTTTATTTGCAGCTAGATTTTATCCCCAAAGGATGCATCAAACTTTGGTGATTTGGGTTCCTCATTTCCTAGCTTCTTTTTGGACTGGGTGACTATCATTTTAACTTTCCTTACTTAAGAGTTTTATCTCAGACATCTCTCCTCTGTGTCAGTCAAGACTTAGGTCTTCTTGTTTAGTGGCAGCCTCTTCAAGTGATGAAAATCAGGAGGGACCCTCTCCAGGTGGGACCCAGCCCATTAGGAACTTTATTTTCGTAACTTCTTTTTTTCCTGGGTTTGTGGTACTGCAGTTTGAACTCAAGGCTTCGGACTTGCTAGGCAGGTGCTCTACTGCTTGAGTCACACCTCCAGTCCTATTTTTATAAGTTCTTTATAATGCATCTCTTAATACAAGACCTCAGTCTTACCATTTATACAGAGAATTTTAGTCATGAGGTAGTTTCTATTAGACAGGTATAGGAGTCAACACAGTGTGCTGAAGACAGGTGTAGACATTGTCCTTTGGGTTGCCAGACAATCTCCTTTGCTGGTGGTGGTTGGAGAAGACAGCAGTCTCTTCCTCAGGTGGGTCTTGCAGGATGAGTAGAGCAAAGGGCCTTCTTGGTAGAGGGATAAAGAAGGCTCGTACATTGAGAAGCACTAGAATGCCAGCTTGGGTAAAAGACTCTGAGGCCAGTCTGTGTTCAATTAGAAGTCAGCTGTGAGTGTGTAACACTTTGAGGAATCTGGAAAGTGAATTTTCCAGGGGAGAAACTGAGCAAAAATTACTTAAATCTCACTGGGTACAGGGGCTTATGGCTATAATCTCAGCTACTTGGGAGGCGGAAATAGAATGATTACGCTTCAAGATCAGTCCAGGATAAGGTGGGGGAGAGTTAGCAAAACCCTAACTCAAAAAACAAGCTGGGAGTGGTGGCACAGAATTGTAATTCTAGCTATGCAATGGTAGAATTGTGGTCTGGTCAGCTCTGGCAAAAAGTGGGAGACCCTATTTGAAAATAACTTTCGTAAAAAGGTCCACAGGCATGGCTTGCCTAGCAAGTAGGAGGCCCTGACTTCAAACCCCAGTACGCACGCGCACACACACACACACACACACACACACACACACACAATTACTGAAATTTACAAGAAGTTGGAACTCTGTGGTTAAAAAAAAGACACAGCAGGAGCTGTGTGAGAGACCCTACAGGAGTTAAGATAAGTACTGAGGAGGGGGTGTGGGGAGCTGCTTATGTTCTGACTATTCAGAACCAGCTAGCTGTGCTTTCTGAGTGTTCTGAGGGCAGAACCCAGCAATGGGTGAAAGGAGATCTGATGCCTAATGCCCAGCACAAAGAAGATATATATGTTCATTCCTTGGATAAATCTGGCAATGGCTGTTTGAATTGGAATGGGCCTGAGGAAGTTGTGAGTTTCCATGAGCAAGATGCTTAAGTTGAGCCTTAAAGAAAAGTTTAGCTGCTAGCTTTAGGCCAGGATAATAATACAACAAGGAATGGGGCTGGGCTGGGCTGGGACAAGAGAGGGGTTGCACTTTTTCCCCCATCTTTGAGCTACTGTGATTCTAAGTGGCCATGACTACTTGTTTCTTTGTTTTTTTGGCAGTACTGGGGTTTAAACTCAGGGCCAATCTACCACTTGAGCCAGTCCTCCACCCCTACTTGATTGTTTCTTGAAAAGATATATTAGAATTTTATTTCATCTTGTAAACCCTCATAATATGACTTCATTTACCACTAATTCTTTTCATTGTCAAATTGCACTGTCTCAGTTCTCTGCTTCAACTATTAGCCTTACTAATAAAAATTAGACTGTGACTGTTCACTTGAACTCCTGATGAAGTTTTATGAACATTATAACATTTGCATGCATGTTTTAAAGAAATGCAAATCCAAGTTTTTTCCACAGTGCAAACAGAGTTTTGAAAGTTGAGGACTTCTTGGGGTGATGGAGTGAGATCTCTGAGGTCAGCAAAATCCATCAAAACTAATTTTTGAGTGAGTGAGATATCTATTTAATGTCATAAAATTAATAAACTGTCAACTTTGCACTTGAGAGTCACCACTTGGCAGTAATAATTATTGGCTGTAAGGCCCTAAAAAGGGAATTTACCCATATGAAAA